CACACACACACACACACACACACAGGAGTAAGGGGACAGAGTGAGCACACAAAAACACATTAAAGATTTTTTTAAGCTTTATTCAATCACAGGGACTAAGAAATGTGGAGAAAGGCAAACAACCTGTTTCTTGTTTGCCCCCCTCCCCCACTCCAGCCTGACCCAGAGGAAGCTGACATAGTAACCAGGTTTAAACTTTGCTTGCTGAAGTGTTTCTTCGAATAGGACTCCCCTTCTTCAGAGCTTGAAAACTTTGCATACATTGAAAGTATGCAGACAGCATAGACACACATACAGAGTGCATCTCCCATTTATAGAATAATAATCTTCATACCACTCTGGGGTCCACTGTGCTTGTGGTAAGAGCTCAAGTTCAGTGTCAGCAAACCTGCCAGGCTTCTGTGGGAGAATCACAGCACTCAAGCTCTTCTGTTTATTTTTGGTGGAAGAGAGGAGGAAATAAAGGGTAACTTTGAATCTGAGTGCCAACACAAACTTTAAAAAGGAACGACATTGCCAAGTGCAGAGTATTCCTGCCTGTCCTGAGGTCTCTACCAAACGTTGGAAGCTAGGGCATGAGAAGGAACAAGAAACCTATGTCTTCAAGCCCTAACTCGGCAGCTAGCTCACCAGAACATGTCCCTTTCTCGTTTGCTTTATTTTCTGAGACAGAGTCTCTCTGTGTAACAGCTCTGGCTGTCCTCAAACCCACAGAGATCTGCCTACCTCTGCCTCCCAAGTGCTGTGATTAAAGGCGTGCACCACCACGGCCCAGCTCAAGTGTACCATTCTTGCTTCAGGTCCTAACCCTGTACCTCCAGTGTGCTCTGTATAGCTCCCTACAGTCAGGCGCTCAAGCAAAGCCACATCATTCCAACTCACTCCTTTCCAGCTATCCACTGATGCTAACACTATCTTAGACTCAAATACCTTCTGTGCTGTGGTGTTTGGGGAGGTCACCTGGCCAGGAGTAATGAGGCCCGACTCCTAATTCTGACTGTCACATAGTCACTGTTGGACCCTCAAGAACTCTATCTCTTCTTGGGGTCTCATTTTATTTACCCATAAAGACTAGATTAGATGATCCCAAAGATTCCTCTCATGGCTGGCCTATTTCACCCACACATTCATTCTAACATTAATCCAAGCCAGAACCAAGTTCTGAGCATCCTGCACCAGGCACAGTATGTCATGTGACTGTGGCCTGCCACCTAAAGAAAGCTGATAGCATTAGGGATACTATCTCCTTGCTTCCATAGACACTGTATGGTGCAGAGTGGGGAAAACAAACCAGCTCTCCCACCTGCCCAACCAACAAAGAGAAGGTGTTTTCCTGTTCCCTCATCCTAGGTCACATCCTAGGAGAGTCTTCGGAGCATTTTCGAAGTTTCAAGTTATTTTTTGAGGTTTTTGGTGTTTGCATTTTAAGTTGCCTCTTTTCCAGGGAAGGGTAACACTACCTCTTTCCCTCCTAATACGTCCTTTATTCTCCTGGGTTTTGCCAGAGAGAGAGAGACAGAGAGAGAGAGAGAGAGAGAGAGAGAGAGAGAGAGAGAGAGAGAGAGAGAGAGAACACTACTCGTTTCAAAGTATTAAATATGGTGTTTTTCAAGTTGCACGGGCTCTAGATTTCAATATAAGCCCCCAGAAGATGAGCTTCAAGCAAATTTCTGGCCCATTCCTCGATACCACCTAAGTAAACACTTACCACCCCCAGTTTCTGAACACCTGTTGGACCTGCTATGACTCTCCAACATTTACAATCGTGAGCTTCCTCCCTGAGCCTCAAAGTTTGTGGGATGATTTCACCCTGTTCAAAGAGCTCCGGAGCGCTGTGCCAACCAAAGTCACTGGGCGTTGATGGGAGATAGCGCCTAGCTCTGCCTCCCACAGCTTTTCTTGCTGATGACATTGAAAGGCAAGGGGAAATGGTGGTCTCAGACCGTAACCCCCGGTCCAGCCAACGCTGCAGGTGGATACTTGCATCCCAGTGATTCCATCGTGACCTGAGCCCACAGCATCCTCACTACCCCGCAGAGGGAAAACCAAGTCTCCACCCTCAGGCGAAGGCTAGCCCCAGCCACCGCCCCTCCTGGTCCCTCTCTGCATAGCCATCCCCACCACCACCACCACCACCACCACCACACACCCTTAGAGACAC